CTAGAAGAATGCCAAGCTGAGTCATGACTCACGAGATGATGAAAATGTAACCAAACCAAGATGGCTGAGGAGAGAAGAGGAATTGCGGAGATGGGGGCGATGGAAGGGCACTAGGGTCAACAGCAGTTGGTAGGTGGGGCTGAGGGCAGGTGAAAGATAATCAGAGAGAGTCCTCAAGGCAGGAACATAGGAGCTGCAACTTTTTTAAAAAAAAATTTTTTTTTCAACGTTTATTTGTGGGATAGAGAGAAACAGAGCAAGAACGTGGGGGGAGGGGCAGAGAGAGAGGGAACACAGACCTGAAACAGGCTCCAGGTCCCAGCCATCAGCCCAGAGCCGATCACCAGAGCCTCCTGACGCGAGGCTCCTGAACCTATCATCTGGCTGCAGATCTAGACCTGGTTGAAGTCGACGCCAACCTATCATCATGCCCCAGCCTCCCATGAGCTGCGTAAATCTTCTTGATATGGCACTTGTGACCTCTCACAGACTTGAAGCGGACACCTATGCTTTGAAAACCTAAAGGGCACAGGAAGTTGACCAGTGATTCCTCGTAGTGGCTACCGCCTCTGGAAGCAGAAACATTCAGGATGCTATACAGTCTTTGGACCAGGCGTTCACAAAGCATGCAGTTCTGGACCAACATTGGAAAAATTAAGAAGTGCTTGTAAAATATAGGTGGATATAACGAGTATATATATATATATATATGGAGTATATAATCATAGATGGTATCATATCATAGACATGGATTGGGTAACCGTTTGCTACAAAATTGGTTGTTCAGAATAGAGATAATAGAGAACTAAAAAGTACTGATTCTTGCACTAGGTGTTATTATTTACCGCCTGCTTCCAAGAAAGCTGATGTTCTGAGAATTGCCTGTTAATAAATACTGAGATAGTATTCCCGTTTATGAGTCTTGAAAGTGACTTGAAAATGGACAAAAAGATCTTCTGTGGAATAGAGAAGTCACCGGGGATTAACATCCCGAAAGACACTGGAGAGTTCTGAACTCCTCAGTCCAAGCTGCCATAGAAAGGTCCCAGACACACACCTTTAAGAATAGGTCAAGTTGTGGGAAACCAGAATGTGTTTATATAAAAGTCATCCAGTGGAATGTGGCCTCAAACCCAGGGGACAGGATGTTGCTCTCCGTCCTCAGGGCCAGCTGTGAGGCAGTCCAGGCATAAAAGCAAAGAGTAAAATAGCCTTAAGTTCGAGATCACTCTGTAATCACTATATGCTGTTGCTTGTCTGTGGAATGATTATGGCACCATGTGCAAAGTTTGGCCAGCTAGGATGTCACGGACAAATTTCAGTGCCTGAGACTCCAGCTCACGGTTCTCCTGGTGTCCCTGAAAATGGCGTAGCATACAGTTGAAAGAAGCCACGAAAAGGAGACGGCAAGACATGAAGTCCAGGTGGTTTGAAGAACACGGTCCAGGTAGGCAACAAACTGATTGTTCATAAAGCAAAAGGATGCTCAGTATATCACACGGATCAGACAGCATCAGTCCTGAAGAAGCCAACAAGCCACACACAAGGATACTTGGTTCGTAGAATTGGGCCAGCAGCCACCGGTCAGTGGAAACAAATAACACTTGGAATTTAATCCTGGGACTTGTGTAGGATGGAATCCCTCTTTATTCTTTTCCGTGAGAACCACCATGTCTGTGGGAAGTGGGAGGGCCTAATGAACCTCCCGACATACTCATGTTTGTAGAGGAGTTTGGTCCGAGTGCCTTGTGCTGGGACGTAAAGTAAGAATGAACATGGATCCCATGCACCAGATTCCACATCTGTTCGTTCAGCAGGGAAACGGGGCCTTTGTTCCTGGGGGGCGGGAGGGGGTGGTGCAGGGGAGACTTCCCTATAACCGGCTCTCTGGAATTCCTGAAACAGGGTGTCAAATGATATAAATCCCTCTAGGAAAAATTTTAAATGCCAAGGGCAAAATAAAAAATGTGGGTTCATAGTAAATGGTTGCACCAAGTGCAGAGGCCCAAGGGGAAGATGGGTGACGGGTTTCCTTACCCTGGTGGTGCGCTGGTATTTCCCAACTGGCTTTCCAGGGTGGGAAAAACACATATGCAAACACACATGGGTATATTATAAATTTTATCAGGGCGCCTAGGTGGCTCAGTTGGTTAAGCATCCAACTTTTGATTTTGGCTCAGGTTATGATCTCATGGTTTGTGGGATCGAGCCCCATGTTGGGCTCTGCGCTGACAGCATGGAGGCTGCTTGGGATTCTCTCTCTCCCTCCTCCTGCCCCTCCCTCACTCACACTCACTCACTCTCTCTCAAAATAAATAAATAAACTAATTTTTTAAAATTTTACCGATAGAATCTGAGGCACACGGTTTACAAATAATAATATACAATACTGTTATTATAAGTTTTGTATAGTCAGTTGATTATCATGTAGTACTGTCCTTTGTCTCCAGGTTTATTGAGGTGTAGAAAACAAATAGACATTTTGTGTACCTAAGGTGTAAAACTTTCATGTATTTTTGCTAAACGCTGTGTTGGTAGCAACCTATGGCTGAAATTCAACCACAGTTTGACAAATGAAATTGAATCTCCATCTGCCAATTCTTCCCAATATATTTGTTGTCATTAAATGTCATACCTGATCTACTGTTGAATTACTTCTCTCTCATACAGATTATATTCACCAGACTGAAACCATTTTCAGCTTGCACACTCTGAATCACAACAGTCCAAAAATTTTTATTATTATTTAGCTTTTTATATAGTTGCAGGGATCGGAACTGTTTGATTCTACATTACCATTTACCATCTGCAAAATGCATACATTTTCCAAATTAACTTCATGTTACTAAAATTTACAATACCACGTGAGAGTTAACATAAAATTTCTGACACTAATATCTTTATACATTTTTTTAAAGGGAGAATTCCATACATCGCCATACCTCCTTCTCTTCCCCCTTTATTTATTTTTTATTTTTTATTTTTTTGAGAGAGAGAGAGAGAAAGTGCTAGGCAGGGAGAAGGGCAGAGGGAGAGAGTGAGAGAGAATCCCAAGCAGGCTCTGTGCCGTCAGCGCAGGGCTCAACATGGAGCTCGGACTCAAGAACCGGGAGATCATGACCTGAGCCAAAGTCAAGAGTTGGATGCTTACCCGACTGAGGCACCCCCGCATGTCTAACATAATATTATTTAATAAATTTCTTAAGTCCAGGAAATCAACAAATCAAGCCCAAATTTGTACCATTCATCTTTTTTGTTTTTTCATGTGACTACTCCAGTTGTGGCCAGTTTCAAGCCACCAACATGACATCACTGAATTCAGAGTTAGGAAGAAATATGCAACACCACGTCTTTATATAGTATTCCCCCCATCTAGATGCGGGAGACATACCCAAGAGTAAAACTCAGTGACATAATTATGAAGTCATGGGCTGCAAATATTTACCTTCTTAAACTATATTTTCTTTCATTCCAAATTTATATAATTTAGTTGCCAATAATGGCTGTTTTCAACAACCAGCTTGCAAAATTCCTAGAAATGTAGCAGTCTGCTTTTGCCGGCCCATGTGACCTGACTCCAATACCCCACGGTCTTACCCCGTACCCTCCTCACTGACGGAGCCATCTTGTGTTCTCTGGTTTTCCTATCTCAATTCAGGTTCTGCCTTCATCTCTTTACATAATTTTTCCCTATATAGCTTAACATTTCTGATGATGCCTGTTTGGTTGTCATGTTGTTTTTTTGTGCGTGTTTGTTTGTTTTGTTTTGTTTAGGACTTCCATGTGAAGTGCTTCTACAAAAATCCAACCACCCTCCCATCCAGAAATTATTGTATTTCTTGGTGAGACAACTGTCAGATGTCGCATGGCCCTCATCAAAGAGTCTAAGGAAGGGGAAAGTAAGAACATGATCCAACATCAAAAGTTGAGAGGGCTCAGAGTCTTAAGCTTTTGTCTGTGGTTGCTAAAATGAGTAAATTCAAACATGTGGGCATTGTTTCTGATCTCAGACCCAACTGCTAAGGAATCACATTTTGATCATCCAATTTTACCTCCATTTTCCCTGCCAGATTATAGACATGGTTTTAGTTTTTCATGCTATGGGTCAGTTAAAACCAACCTCACAATCCCAACTACCTGTTAATTAAACAACAGGGTATTTATAACTTGAAGCCAAGCAGATCCTGCTTATAATAGAAACATTGTGCATCTGAGGCGGTCGTGGGTCCAAATTGTAGGGACCCCAAACAACTATTAGTGCCTAGATCCCCATGTTAGTTATTTCCAGAACTTCGCAGACACATTATCATCTGTGGCCATAAATAATACGGGATTAAAATTGTATCATCACATGCAAATATGGTCCCCAAGTATTAGTGACATACATACAGGAACCCTCACGGGGGGTCAAATGGGGAAGCAGTTTGGGAATCATGGGAGCACTAGAAAGCAGGTTTTCGGGTGCAGTAGAAGATTCCAGAGGAGCACAGTTCTGAAGTGACCCACATCTGTGGTGGCTCCGACAACGATGACAGTAGACTATGTGACAACCACTCGTTGAGTGCCAGACCTGCGCAGTCTATTGAACCCTTGTGATCCTTGATGAAGGTGCTGCTGCTGTGGTGGTGGTGGGTATTCTTACAACAGATAAGAAATGGAAACACACAAATCTGCTCCTGGTGACACTGGCACGTTAGGTAAATCATGAGCCTGGATTTGAACTTGGAAATGCCCAGATCCAAAGCCAGCACTCTTACCCTGGCACACAGGGACCACTCTAGATCCTAATAATAAACAGTTCCTCCCGTTAGGCATGGTGCACCGGTTGTAGGAGGCCTGGAGGGAATAATGATCCTCCCAGGACCCCACCCACATGAAATGGTCTACCTTTAAATTGTTTGGTGACCACTGTTTATGCGTATCAGAGGAGTCTCTCTTGGCTGACACCTGTGGATTGCATATTGCCCCAATAGGTGAAAAACATCTGGGGAAAGAACACGATGGCCACCATGACGGAATTGAGTCCCACAGCAGGGAAGACTAAACACTCCCAAGATACGCGAGTGGATGAGAGTCTCGTTCCCAAGAAAGGTAAACTCAACCTTGACTCCTTGGGTTTAGGATTTGGTAGTGGATTCTTTACGTGCACTGTCATAAGACAAACAAATGAACTCATATAAGTTGTTGAATTCTTTTTAAAAATCAGGTAATATTAATACGTGCTTTTCAAATATATGAAGGAAATAAATATCACTGTTCGAAAAAAATCTTGCATTTCTGAGGATTATCTTTTAATCTTTGTCCATGTGCATTTACAGTTTTTGATGGTTGCTGCCAAATTTGTATACACCCACTATTGTGTGTTCTTCTTGTCACTGCATGGAATATTGTAAACATAATTGTACTGCTTAATTAGGTATAGTAAGAAAACTTTTAATTTGACCACACATACTTCTCCATATTGCTTTATAATACAACTATTCTTAAGGATGCGTATTAGTGTTTCAGGATGTCCAATAGATAGAGCATTATTTACCTGAAAAATCCTCTTGTGGTTGGAAATTTAAGTTAGAGTTTTGTTTGCTACTAAGCTATCTTTACATATATTATACATATGCAAACATTCTTTAACATAGCACTTGTCCGAAGTGGGAATTATTATTTCTTCAGTGTGTATTCCTAAGAAATGAAAATTTTGATGCAAAGGCCGTAAATATTTCCTTTCCACTGGCCACCATAGAGACCTTAGTATTCAATCTGAACTAAAGTGAAGCCACATGGAGGATTTTGAGTGGAAGAGGGGGTGATCTAATTTGTGGCATGACTACAACAGTTCATTTGCTATATTGTAAATAGATTGGAGGGGCACCTGGGTGGCTCAGTCTGAGCATCCAACTTTGGCTCAGGTCGTGATCTCGTGGTTCATGAGTTCAAGCCCCATGTCAGGCTCTGTGCTGACAGCTCAGAGCCTGGAGCCTGCTTCGGATTCGGTGTCTCCCTCTCTCTCTGCCCCTCCCCCAGTTGCTCTCTCTCTCTCTCTCTCTCAACTAAATTAACATTAAAAAAAAAAACATAAAATAGATTGGAAGCAGGAAGTCAAGTTAAAGGCTATTGCAAATATCCAAGCAAGAGGTGTTGGTAGCCAGAATCCTCTGGAAACAGCTCTAAACCAAGAGACAGCAATGGCTCTGGTGAGAAGTGGTTGGATTCTGTACACATTTTCCATGTAAAGACAATAGTATGTTCCAGACAGACTGGATCTAAGGTGCAAAAGAAAGAAATCAAGTGTCTGGAAGGATAGAATTTCCATCATCTGAGTTGGGAAAGAATGTGGGTGGACCAAGCTTGGGAGGGAGAGCTCAGGCATTCAGTTTGATAGATTCAGAATCTATTAAGTTTGATTTTTTTGATTAGCTTATCAATTGATTTTTAGTGGAAAAAATGACATCTTAAAATCAATGGCAGCTTTAATTTGACAAAACGCACTGCTACAGTATTATACCTTGACTTTATTTTGATTTAAAATATGAGGTATTGTTCCAACTTTATTTTTCCATATATCTAACCAGCTAGCTCAGAATCACATGTATAATTTAGCTTTCCTCCATGAATTGCCGTAATGTCCTTTACTCACTGTATGATTTTTTTGGATGTTTTTCTATTGTTCCTTAGATTTTCTCTTTTTATTGGTGTCTTATTTTAGCCTTGTAACAAATTTCAACGCTGTGTAATGCAAACATCTTTCAATGTGTGCCCTCTCCTCCAAAAAAACCTTTCATGTAGTCTGTTAATATATATAACGCATCTTTATTATTTGATGCCAACCGTATTTATTTTCTATCCCTGCAAACATATTACCACAAACTTAATGGCCTAAAATGACACACATTTACGATGTCACAACTTCTGTGGGTCAGGGGTTAAGACATGCCTTGGTTTAGTTGGTTCTTCTCTACATCTCACAAGGCTGCAATTGAGTAGTTGTCCAGGTTGTGTTCTCATCTGGAGGCTAGACTGGGGAAGGTCCCACTTCCAAGATCATTCAGGTTGTTGGGAGAATTCATCCCCTTACAACCGTACAGCTGAAGGTCCTGGTTTGGGCAGGATTTTGGCTAGAGGCCACTCTCTTGTCCTAGAGGCAGCCCATAGTTCCTTACTGTGTGGGCTTCTCCAACTCTCTGCATCCTTTATCAAGCCCATGAGTAAAGTATCCAGCTTCAGTTTGGAGTCTTATAATGAAAATCATGAGAGTGCATCCCTTCACTTGCTGGCTAGAAGCAGCTCATAGGTCTTGCCCCCATTCGAGTGGAGGGGATTAGACACATTTGTGAACTCATGAGGTGGGAATCATTGGAGTCACCCTAGGCTCTGTTTGTCACATCATGTTAAAAAACAAGTCTCCTGGACTCTGATTAGAGTAGTATCGAATTCTTCCATATATAACCTTCAAGTTTCAAAAGTCGATGATTTCATAGTGTCAGTGCTCTCTTCCAGTGGTTAAACACTATGCCTATAAGATATTTATTAATTTGCACACACTCACACATACATACAAACTCACACACTCTCATGTAGCTAAGGGTAATCCTTGAAAATATTTCACAGCCAGCATGACGCTGGCACCAATCTATTAGAGTGGATATGGCTGGAATGATTCATCCATTATGGACATAGGACAGAAAAAATCTTTAAGGACACATGTAGTAGCTTGTAGGAAATACTTATTAGCAAGCAAGCATCAGGCTCAGCCTTTTAAACACATCCTCTACTTAATCTTTCAGCAACCTAACGAGACCGATGTTCAACCCACTCATTTGTGAGCCATCAGTCTCTTGGTTTGCTGATACTGTTTTTCAGTAGCCTTTGGTCTCTATGATCCCAGGCCATGTGGAGAAATCAGAGAACACAAGAACTCACAAATTATTAGCTGACTTGATTGACATAAGAAGTCACCACCCAGCTTTGAATCAGGAAGGAAAACTTTCACAAGAATATTGTATTTGAGCTTCTCACTCTAATTTGGGTATGTTTTACAGTTTTTTTTTCCAAATTCTGCCTCCCCCACCCCATTCACTAAATGAGAAAACAGTATGTCCTTGTGGGGGAAGACTCTTTTGTTATCTCAAGGTACCTCCTTCCTTGAAGTTTTGAGGACTTCTTGAAGACACACAGGGACCTCTTATCCCACACCATGTAAACCCCACAGATGAGTGCACTTGACTTACAGCAAAGGTATTCTCATGCGGTCATCTAGGACAAAATAAAAGCCATCATATACTTGCCCAACAATGGTTAACAGCATAGACACCTGACACATAGCGGGTCTCTCTGTATCTATGTCCTTCTCATCCATAAAATGAGGATAGCCATGGCAGCAGCTTCAGAGGATTTAGTGAATTAATTCTCAGTCATTATGTTCCATGACCTATCGGAGCCATCTGACGCACCTGCTGACTCCCTCCTCCCGAAGCCCTTTTCCCCTTGGCTTTCAGGACACCACACTCTCCTAGTTTTCTTCCAAAACCTACTGATCATCCCTTTTCAGTTTCCTTTGTTGGTCTCTCCCCATTCATTTGGCCTTTCTAAACACTGGAACCCCCAGGGTCAGTCCTTGGTTCTCTTCTCTCTGTGTTCTCACTTCCCAAATATCATGGCTTCAGGTATCATGTGTAGATTATTAACTCCCAGTCTTATACCTCAACTCCTACCTCTCTTCTAAACTCTAGAGTTGTGTATCCAACAACATTCTCAACACTCAGAGTGCCTAAAAGGGAGCTCTGTTGGTCCAACAATAAGTTGTTGATCCCCACACTCCCCAAACCCCTGCTGTGGCCACACAACTCCCTTCCTCAGTGAACCTCAACTCTACTCTTCTAGTTCCTAGACAAGAACCTCTCTGGTGCCCCTCCCCCACTGGTCTGTAAAACCTAAAGCTTGATTTAGTGTACCTTTCCCCCACCCCACGGGTCCATTTGGGATCCGATTACATTTTCCCTCTTCTGCTGCTCCCACCACAATCCAATGCTCCTCACTTCTCTTCTGCATTATTGCAATAGCCTCTTCCCGGCAACAGCCATTTTCCCCAGAAATACAAAAACAGCCTTGAATGCTGTGCTCATTTCTCTTTCTGCTATTTTTTTCGCTATATTTTTTCATAGTTTGTAGTTGTCAATTTCTCTAATGAGAAAATCTTTCTAGGGGCTTGACTTTAAACTTTAAATGAAAGCTTGTCCTCAATGACTGGACACATGCGGAGAACAATCATCTACCCCAACGAACAATTCCCTCAGAGTTTAAAAAATTACATTTTCTATATATAATGTGTAATATAGGACATACAATATAAATTATGTAATTTAATTAAATTTAGTTGATTAAATTATGTGACTTAAATAGGTACATATACATATACTTCCTTATATGTACATAAAATGTATATTTTGCCACATAGGTATTTACTTCCGAGTAATTTCATCAACTATAGAATACAATAACCCAAGAACGGGAGAGACAAAACCATAGGAAGGACAGATGCCTCAGAGCAAGTCAGTCTCTACACAGTCATGGTATGAAAACAACCTTCAGTTCAACTCAGTGATCGCCTCCTTTTGCATCTTTCCTAAAGCCAACAGCAAAGCCATTTAACTCATTAGGTGATGGTCTGTGGTACCTTCCTGTGGTATAACTTGCGAGAAGCAAATGATGGCTTAATAAGGAAAGCACTAATGTCATGTTATGATATTTCCAGTTCTAAGCTTCCGCTCCACTCGCTATGGAATAGCCTTTATCGCACATTTCTGCAATTTTATACTGATGGCACAGTATGCTGCCATCAACATCAGCATGGTGGCCATGGTCAACGGCACAAACCATCAGTCCCAGTTTAATGGCTCCACCGAGAGTCTGCCTCTTGACGCACTTGGTGGCTCAAATGATGCGCCAAACAGTCTTCCAGCAGAGGTAAGCAATACGAGATTTAAGCTGTGTTCTTGTTTTTGCTGTTTGTTTAGAGCTTATATGTTAAAAAGTTTTATTTGGGGGGGGCACCCGGGTGGCTCAATCAGTTAAGCGTCCGATTCCTGAGATTTTGGCTCAGGTCATGATCTCACGGTTGGTGAGTTCGAGCTCTGCATTGGGCCCCACGTTGACAACACAGAGGCTGTTTGGGATTCTCTCTCTCTCTCTCCCTCTCTCTCTGCCCCACCCCTGCTCGTGCTCTCTCTCTCTCTCAAAATAAATTAACACTTAAGAGAAGTTTTACTTGGCAAAATAGTGATTTGAAAGCAAGTGAGAGATATAAAGAGGTGTCTTCAGTTATGTAAGAACCTTCCTGTAAACGGCTTACTACAGCATTCTCTGTTTCTTCAAGGCCCCTGTGTATGACTGGAGCCCTCAAATCCAAGGCATCATTTTTGGTTCTGTCAACTATGGCATGATGCTGACAACGGCTCCCAGCGGGTACCTGGCTGGAAGAATAGGAACAAAGCGTGTGGTTGGCGTTTCTTTGGTTGTATCCTCCCTTCTCATTATCTTTACCCCGCTGGCGGCTGACCTGGGGCTAGCCTTCCTCATTGCAACTCGAACAGTCCAGGGCCTGGCCCAGGTATCCAGACAATTTGCGAATATGAAATGGATATGAATTTCTACACGGCACCACATACCAACAGCTCTAACTGTTTTGACTTCAGGGCTCGATATTTGGGGGCCAGCACGCGCTTTGGGAGAGATGGGGTCCTCCACGTGAACGAAGCCGCCTCTGCACCCTCGCTCTATCAGGTAGAAACACATAACCGAAATGAGTCCACTCAATCCAACATTCTCACTCTGGGGTACGTGAGAATTTCTCTGTTGAATGTTTTTTTTTTCCTCAATGGCGACCAAATATTTATAAATTAAGGAGATGGATCCTTTGTGCCATGACTTTCAGTTTTTTTTATTTTTTTTATTTTTTAAATGTTTATTTTTCGGGGAGAGAGAGAGAGAGAGAGAGAGAGAGAGAGACAAAATGCGAGTGGGGGAGGGGCAGAAAGGGAGGGAGACACAGAATCCGAAGCAGGCTCCAGGCTCCGAGCTGTCGACACAGAGCCCGACGCGAGGCTCGAGCTCATGAACCGTGAGATCGTGACCTGAGCCGAAGTCGGACGCTCAATCGACTGAACCATTCAGGTGCCCCGCTCTCTGTTATTTTTCCCCAAGTTGTCATTTATAACACGGCTTTGCTTATAATGATTTTTCCTATGTGTAAAAAATATATTCTTGCATATTTAAATTGATCATCCTTTTCTTTTATGGCTTCTGGATTTTGAGTCATAGATGGACAAGTTACAAAAGCATGCACCCACGTTTTTCCTTGAACTTGCCTGATTTCGTTTTCATACCTAAATTTCTAATACACTGGGAGTCTATATTGGTATTCTATGTATGAGGTACAGATCTAACTTAATCTTCTTTGGCAGAGTTCTCAGTTGTTCTGAGAACTGCTTTCTGATCATAATTTGCCTGGACAGTGTATCTGGAATGAATATTCTAAAAATATTGGGGAAGAATGAAAAACAGAAAGAATAGGGCTAACAACCAGGAGATTGATGAAGCAGTTTCTGGATAAGAAAACTGGGGTAACTCCCCAGCTAACTTATGGATCACAAGGGAGTCAGGGACTCTTCAAGCCCAGAAAACAAGACACACATACACACACACACCCTGACTGATCTCACCCCCCTCTGGACCCTCTAGAGCCCTTTACAACCCTGGAGAAGTATTTTCTGTCACCAGAGCTCATATCCACTGATAAGGGAATAGTCCACTAATTTGGACTATGAGGAAACTCATATCCGTCATCGCAACTGACTAATGGGGCTTCTCAAGCATTGAGATTGACCCCCTCCCCCCACAAAACCTCAAACATTTTAAAGAAAACAAGAGCACAAAAGAGAGAGACCAAACTCAAAAACTGTGAGAACAAATCCAAACGAAGAAGAAATTAAGAGAAACTTTTACATGATTAACCAATACCACGGGAGAGATCTAAGGGACTATGTATCATAACATTTATTTAAAAAGAAAAAACCGTCAGAACGGCGAGCATCCAAAAGACAAGAAATAATAAGGGTTGGTGAGGATGTGGAGAAAAGAGAATCTCTGCGTCCTATTTGTAGGAATGTAAATTGGTGCAGCGACCGTGGAAAACAGGATAGAGGTTCCTCAAAAAGCTAAAAATAAAAGTACCATACCACCCAATAACTGCACATCTGAGTATTTACCTGAGGGAAATGAAAACACCAATGCAAAAGACATATGCACTCCTGGGTTTACTGCAGCATCGTTTACAATAGCCGAGATATGAAAGCAGCCCAGACGTCCACCAATAGATGGATGGATGAAGAAGATATGGTGTGTAGACATAATGGAATGTTATTTGGTCACCAAAAAGAATGAAATCTTGCCATCTGCAACAACATGAATGAACCCAAAAAGGCTCTGTCGCTAAGTCATGTAAGTCAGACAGAGAAAGACAATTATCGCGCAGTCTCACTTATATGTGGCATCTAAAAGAACCACCAAATAACAATAACAACAGGAAAGAGAAACAGACTCATAAATATAGAGAACCAACCAGTGGTTTCCAGAGGTCGGGTGGGGGTGGGAGGTAGGCCAAACAGGGGAGGGAGATTAAGAGATACAAACTTCCAGGTATAAAATAGACAAGTCAAGGGAATGAAAAGTACGGCATAGGGAACATACTCGATAATGTTGTAATGATTTAGTGTGGGGATAGATGGTAACTATGCTTACTGTGGCATTTTGTAATGTAATTGTCAAATCACTGTGTTGTACACCTGAAACTAATATCAACCATGCTTCAATTAAAAATTAAAAAAAAAAGTAATCACAAAAACCAGACCGCTATAAAAATAGTTGGTAATGAAAAGTATAATCGCTAATATTTTTAACTGTAATGAGTGGTCTGGGTGCCTAAACGAAGGGAGATGGCCTTCCATGGAAAGCATGGAAGGAAAGTTTAAAATCTTGGAAGGAAGACAGTGACCTTGTAGACGTAGCTGCTCCCTCCCTCTCGTTTCCTGCTCTATAGGCATAGTGCTCCTGGAACAGGTCAACTGACTAGGAGAATCTTGGGAATCTAGAAGACTGCAAGTTCCAGAGGCTTCCTTGTTTTGGGTGGTAGGGACCATCTCAGTGGCCCCAAGAAGGTAGTCTCTACTGGCCTCTAGAAACCTTTTCTGCTTCAGAAGAGCACAGATCCAATGGCTGTCTAAGGGGCCAACGGGAAGCCGTTGGAGGAACCCATCAGTAGGTGGGATGGGCTAAGCCTACCCAGCTGCCTCAGTAGGTCTCACAGAAATGGCCATTTCTGGTGATTCTAGGACTTCTCAACAGGCTGCACTGGTAAGCAGTAGGACTCGTCCCGTGAGGTTGAAGGAAGACTTCCCACAAAGACACCTAACGGTGGAAGGGCCCAGTACTGCCAGCCTCTGGGGCAAAACGTACTAGGTCTTTCTCTCCAAGGAACCACAAAGGCACGTCTAGAGGCAGGAAACTTTGTAGCCACTTAAGGGAGGAAGGCTGAGCAGACAAAACAGAACTGGTATCTCATATTTGAGGCAGGCCTCATAGGTAATAGAAACACACACACACACACACACACACACACACAATCTGAAGATGATGGTTTATCATACAGCAGTGAAAATAGAAAAAAAAACCCAAAACCCTGCGATTTTCAGACAGCCACACGGGTAGTGTTAGAAACACAAATGCAGAACGAATAAAGCGTGTCTGTTAGGGAGGAAATTGCCTTGATGCAATGTCAGCCCCAAGTACACCCCCTGGCAAGCTGTCCCAGAGGTCATGGGGCAGACAGGCTCACAGGCCAAATCAGGCACCGTAATTGTACAGTTAAACTACTTCGAAGCACAGAGTGAGATGTAAGGCGGGAAATCGGGTAACTGAACACATTTAAGGTAAAGCGGGTGGAAGGATCACCCTACCCGGGTCACGCGTGCTGAATGTTCGAACACCCTGTCTCTGTCTGTCTGCTGCATTATCCTGCCCGTTGATGGTGTGGATGGGAGAACCAGAGCCGGGCGTTAGGCGAGGGAGCCCACGGAGGGGCAGCATCCTGGGCCAGTGACACACACTTGCTCTATGCGAGAGACACAGGGCCGGGGGGCCTCCACTTAGTCGCTAAAGAACCTGTTACTGCCAGGGGTGTTACTTCCGTCTGCAGGCAGAGTGGTGTGGGGGCCAGAATGGGAATTCCCAGCAGATGGCTGAATGAGGCCCCCGCTGTCACAAGTCACCACCACTAGGCTGGTAAACAGGCTTTTTCTAGGGAGGAAAACAAAAAAGCTGATTCAAAATATTTATCAATTTCTGTGCTCTAAATACTAGCACCACGGCTGATTTAAAGACAGCAACTTCAAGTCACTGAATGCCGAGTTGGGAAGAGATGTGTACACTTTTCTCTGGTTCCCGCACACCTCCGATCGGATATGCCCGTGAATAGCTAGAGTCTTGTGTTTATAATTATTGCCTACCTAGTATTATGTGTCTGCTGCTCTTTCCACCTTTTTCTATCTACATTCCAAGACAAACATGTCATTCTTAGCGAATTACTTATCGTTAACGGACACGGCTTATGAATCCTGTCTCTCTCTCGAAAACAAATAGACCTTAAAAAATAAGAAAAATTACATTAAAGACGAAATAAATAGATAATAAACAAAAGGAACAAACAAATAAATAAAAACTCACGCATCTGTAATTTGACAAGTTGACGTTAATCTGGAAAATAAAAACACGTAATAGCCTAGTTTTGGAAAAGTCGTTGGAAGGAAGGGTGCCCTACTATGTATGAGAATGCTCTGTGAAGCCAGGGAAATTAAAAGTGTTATTGGCACCGTAACAGACAGACCTAGCTTTCTGCCTGCACGTGGCTTAAATGCCTTTACAAAGAGGTAGGTGTGTGTGTAGATACATATTATATATGTTTGCAGGGAGGAAAGCTATGCAACGATATGTCACATGACAGGTAGTGGTTAACATTAGAGACAAGTGTGGGAACGGACGGGGGCGGCACGTCGCGGACTCCGCTTCGCGATAATTTACTTTCTCAATAAGCAGATGTCACATGGCTTGTGTAATTAAAAATTAAAATAACACGGGAGGAAGAAGCATGGCTGTTGTCTGCAATGCTATTAGGGAACCGTCAGAAAAACAGGCCCTCAGGAGAACTAAGTGATAAATCGGAAGTTCACGTATTCTGATATGCTAGTCTGGTTATGGCTGGTGACACCGCGTTAACATATCATCCGTCATTGTGTCGGTGTCTACCCAGGGGCGGTCCACAGCCCCACAGGTTACTCTGTCTCGTTGCAGGAATGATGCTGGGAACCTTCGCCATCATCCTCCTGGGTGGCATCATCAGCCAAACCCTCGGGTGGCCTTTTGTCTTCTATATCTTTGGTAAGCAGCTGTCTCCCCATTCCAGGGTTTCATATTCAGGGCGAGTGTCCAAGGATCAGTCTGCGATGCTATCGATCTGCCATAAAGCATCATTAGCATGCAGTGGTTGGGCGTGCGCTCCCCCCCCCCCCCCCCCCCCCCCCCCCCCCCCCCCCGCCCACCTCCCCCTGCCCCCGGTTCCGGCTGCAGGTGACAGGCTTGCAGAGCAGTGGTTTGGGACAGATGAATGAAAGATGCGCAGAGGGCAAGCCACCGCTGTGGGTTTTCTCTCCCATCAAGTGCATCAGGACAGGGGCCTGGGTTGGGTGCAAGCTTCCAAAAGGAGAGAAAACACTAAACGCCAACAAGGCGAAGGCGAGGAGGGACCACAACCTGGAGGTCTAGGGCAGGGCGCAAGAAGAGGGAACTCAGCAGAAACAGAACTGAGGAGACAAATCTAAAAGCCGGGAGAGTGTGAGGCAGGAAAGAGCACCCAATAAAGGCAACGACATACAGAGGAAACCCGGTTATTTGCGGGGCACGTGCGTGAAGACATCATCTGAGCCCGTGGTGGGGAAAATCACTGGAAAAGATTAAAGAACAGGATCGAGGACTTGCAAAGAATCGGAGACAGAGTCTGTTTCCACAAGACAGACTAAAAACACTGACGATTCAGAGGCAGTTGGGCAGAATGCCCACCGCCTTCTTTCTCCAGCGGCTCCAGAGGAAGCGCTGGGGGGCCCTTTGACAAATGACGACACAAGACCTAAAAGGATCAAACTATTTCTCTGCAAGCTAACTGTAGCACAGACAAAAGCTCAAAAATCTGGTAGAGGAAGACAAAGACACTCAGCACCCACCTCGGTGTCATCCACGATGTCTGGTTCCCATCATAGATTACTAGGCGTGGCAACATAAAAGCAGGAAAACACAACCTGTAAGAAGAAGAGTAAAAAGATCAATCAAAACGGACGCAGAACTGGCACCGATGTTAGAATAACGGGTGAAGGGTTGCCAAAGTCAATGAAAACTACACGCTCACAGACCCAAGAACAATGGATCTCAAGCACAGGCAACATGAAGAAAACGACACCAAGTTATAGGTAACCGGATGGCTGAAAGCCAGTGATAAAGATGAAAATTTTAAAAGCAGTGAAAGCTAAATACATATCACACACAGAACAACAGAGACAGTGAAGAGGGTAGCCTTCCTGTCGGAAGCAACGCAAGGAGGAAGGCAGTGAAATAAAAGTTTTCACGTCCTGCAAGGAAAACAAACAAACAAACCGTCAACATAGAATTCTGGGGGGAATAATGTCAAAAACAGAAAAAATAAGGACATTTTTAGCCACACCAAAGTTGAGAGACTAAGAAATTTAAATTAAAAATAGCAGTACCGTTTTCAATAGCATGGGCAAGTACGTAACATAGGAATAAATCCGACAAAAGGTGGGAAAGACCGATGCCCTGAAAACTGTTCTCATGAAAATAAAAGGATTCTAGAAGAGCCAAATAATTTTGCAAATGGGTTACAAAGTTGGAGGACTCACACTGCCCGATGTTAAGACACAAAGATTACGCCATCGGGACACGGCAGTGTTGGCATATTGGCAGGAAATAAATCAGCGGAGCACAGTCCCAAACAGACTCACACATAAAAGGTAAGTTGATTTTTGACAAAGATGCAAAGGGAATCCAATGGAGAAAGGAATAGGCTTTTCAACAAGATGTCGCTCAAAAACTGGATACTTTGGTCCAGTCTTATACCTTACACAAAAACAAACTCAAAATAAATCCTGGACCTAATTTTAAAATCTGAAGTTATTATCCTTCCAGAAGAAAGCCTATGAGAAAATCCTTGCTCTCTAGTTAGGCAAAGATTTCTTAGACGTGACACCAAAGGCTTGATCCGTAAAATTACAAACTGATAGGCTGGATTTCATCAGAGTAAAAACTTGTCTTTACGAGCCGTTATTAGGATAACAAAGACTGGGAAAAAATGCTTGCAAAACACGTATGTAATAAAGACTTTTATCCAGAATGTGTAAATAATTCTCAACACTCAATTATAAGAAAACAGAACAAAAAATGGTTTAGCAGTGGCAAAGACGCTTCAGAGAGGGAAAGCAAACACATGGAAAGGTGCTCAACATCTTTTGTCACGAGGGGAATGCAATTAAGAATGAGAGAACCTCTGAACACCTGTTACAATGGCTCATTGTGACACAGTTAAGAAACGTGGATGTGGTCTCTGTCCCCAGGTTCCGACCCAGAGCTCCTAAAACCCCTGTAATTGCCTGAGTGTTATGAACATCTTTTGTCCTAACGAGACAGCTCTTGGTGGACCCAAGACAGCTTCACGATGAGGGCTGGGCACCAGAAAGAACAAACCCCGGTTAGAAGCTTGGAAGCTTCAGCCTCCATCCTCCAGGAGGGAAGGAGGCTGCAGGATGAGTTAATAATCTGTTATGCCTACGTGATGTCACCTCCCTAAAGATCCCTGAACCGTGGGATCTCCCAGATCGGTGAACACCTCCATGTGCTGGGAGGGTGGCGTATCCCAGCTCCACAGGGGCTCCTGTGCTCAGAACCCCTTCCAGACCTTGCCCTGTGTACCTGTTTGTCTGGCTGTTGTTCATCTGCAGCCTGTACAATATCCTTTGTAACAAACTGGCAGACGTAAGTAAATGTAAGTAAATGCTTCCTTGACTTTGGTGAGATGTTCCAGCCAATTATCAAAACCGAGAGGGGGTTGTAGGAACCCCCACTTTGCAGTCAAGTCAGAAGCGTGCGTAACCCGGGGACCCACTGCTTGTGACTGGCATCCGAAGTGGGGGGCAGCCTTGTGGGACTGAGCCCTCCCCCTGCAGTGTCTGTGCCAACTACCAGTAGTTAGCATCAAAGCTGAGCCAAGCTGGCGTCCGTGGAGAACTTGGAGGGTTGCTTAATGCGAAAACCTACACGTCTGCCGTCGAAAACGCGGAAAGGGACAGCTTTCCTTTGGTAATATTAAAAAGGTTGAGAAAACCAAGTCCTAGGGTCTGTGATTTCCATACATATGAATAATCAAGAGATGTATAAAAAAAAAAAAAAGAGGGTTCTAGAAAGTTGTGATATTCGTGTGCTTTTTTTTTTTTTTTTTTTTTTTTTTGTGAGACTTGCAAAGGGGATATTATGAGCAAGGGCTTGTCCCAGGACTTGCGCTCGAAAATGTGCCAACATAAAAGAAATTTCCACAGAAAGCAGAAACCGGCATGGTAACCAATTTTATCCTCTGCTTACAGGAGGCATTGGCTGCGTCTACTGCCTTCTCTGGTTTGTTCTGGTGTATGATGACCCCGTCTCTCACCCATGGATAAGCGTCACAGAAAAGGAATATATCGTATCTTCCTTGGCCCAACAGGTACACGTAAGGGCTGCGACCATCTGCAGAGAGCTCGCGTCGGCCTCTGCATTTCGAGGGGGTAACGAAGCTCACGCGTGGGCCCGGCCCAGATCTTACCGTCCTAACCAGTACGCTTGTTTCCAGGTCAGCCCTTGTAAGCAGCCTCTTCCGTTCAAGGCCATGCTTGGGTCTCTACCCCTGTATGCCATTTGTCTGTGCAGTTTCAGCCATCAGTGGCTGGTCACCATACTGATTGTATACATGCCAACTTACATCAGCTCGGTGTTCAACGTTAATATCAGAGACGTGAGTGCCTTTCCCTCTGGGCCTTTCTCCAGCGCACATGACTCACCAATCACTTCGTCTTCACAAATCGTTCCATCCAGGAAAGTTTATCCTCTACTGCCTACCACGAAATGATCTAATATTTAACACTCACGCTGGTAGCTTCTCTAAGGACATGACTGAAAAGGCTCCTGATGTTGTTAAGAATGTAGGATTTCAGGGGCGCCTGAGTGGCTTCGTCGGTTGAGCATCTGACTTCAGCTCAGGTCATGATCTTGCCGTTGGTGGGTTCAAGCCCCCCCTCGGGCTCTGTGCTGATGGCTCGGAGCCTGGAGCCTGCTTCGGATTCTGTGTCTCCCTCTCTCTCTGCCCCTCGCCCTGGCCATGCTCTCTCTCTCTCTTAAAAATAAAATAAGCATTAAAAAAAAAAAAAAAGAAATGGGAAAGAAAGAATGGTCTTAGGGGTGCCTGGGTGTCTTAGTCGGTTGAGCATCTGACTTCAGCTCAGGTCGTGATCTCACAGTTGGGTGAGTTCGAGCCCCGCATCTGGCTGTCTGCTGTCAGCCTGTCAGCACGGAGCCCAGAACCTGCTTTGGATCCTCTGTCTGTCTCTCTCTCTCTCTCTGCTCCTCCCCCGCTCTCAGGGTTGTCTTCGGGGTTGTCAGTATGATTATCAGTGGTTTCTCAAAAAAAGGTGTGGGCTCACCACCCCTATTATGATGATTTACTCACGTCTTTTCCCCCTCAGAATGGGTTCCTGTCTGCCTTTCCTTTTATCATTTCCTGGGTCACTGGTATCCTGGGAGGCCAACTGGCAGATTTCCTCCTGACCAAGAATTTTAGGCTCGTTACCGTGAGGAAAATTGCCACATTTCTTGGTAAGAACAGGGCTTGAGGGTCAGATGATTCACAAAGCATACAAATACAACAGCCAAAGGTGTATCTCATTGTTTAATTTGTCTGTTCCTCGTTCCCTAGGAAATTTCCCCTCTTCAGTGCTCCTCGTGGCTCTGTCCTACCTCACCCCTGACTACATCACCACAATGACCCTCCTCATAGTCTCATGTGGGTTTACCCCCTTCTGTCAGTCAGGGATCTATATCAACGCCTTAGACATTGCTCCGAGGTAGGATGGTCATCTCCACTCTTATATTTCACCTATTCTGAAAAAGACTTAGCCCGAAGCTTTCTGGGAGCCCCAAACTTTGAGACATAATAAATCACAGGCAAGGACCACAGATGGACCTGTGGCCATTTTTTTCAGGGATGTGGGGAGAGGGGGGTTATTGATTTGTCTCAGTGCCCCTCGCTGAACGTACACAGCGCAAGTCCTTTCTGATGTAATTACATGAGCAAGGCTGAAGGATACCGTGAAGCATCTCTGGATCTAGCCTGGAACATTCCTGTCACCCACAGGCATTCCAGTTTTCTCATGGGAGCCTCAAGGGAATTCGGATACACAGCAGCCATCCTGGCACCCACCGTCAGCGGGTTTCTCCTCAGTCAGGTAGAGTGTTCGGGTCAATGACTCTGAAAATGCTCTGCCAAATCCATTTGTAAAGTCAGTAGTGTCCCTAAAGCATGTGCTTGCGTCGTAGAAAATAAAAGCAAACTGTGGGTAACTTTGTCATGAGGTCAACCTGGCAGAGAAAAATGTAGAACAATTCCTTTCGTGACCTCAGTCTTTCCTTGTTCTGAAGCCAAAGAAGTGATGATCCCCTGGCAACATTCAGTCTTTGAAACTGAAATCACACAGCCGTACCGATGTCGTGAGATGGTAAATTCCATGCCCCGATGCAACTTGCCACGTCTTTGGCAACGCGGTGAAATTTTCATTTGCATAACCATCCCAAAGCAGACAGATAGTAGAAGCAGATGTGCTGACGTGTCTCGTACACGCAGGCATGATTGTAGGTATTTCATACGCAGTAATCTCATTTAATTATCGATGCCCATGCCCATTATGAGAATGGTATATTGTGATCCTCACTTTCTGATGATAAAGCTGAAAATCTGATAGAACAAGTCTTTCCACTGAGAGGATGCAGAGTCAGAATTCTTCCTTCTTAGACCCGTCTAGCTCCAGAGCCTGCAGTGTTTCCCCCACACCACAGCAACGCAAGAAGAAAACACTCTTAGCATACTTGGCGTGTCATGATTTGCACACAAGAGAAAACGCATGGCACTTCGGTAAATAGTGACAAACGCAGTTCTGTAGGTTAATTGTAAAGGTCCCCAAATCCCATTTATTAGGAATATTCTAAATGCACTCTGAAATTCTTTCTTTCCAACCATCAAGCCTCTTGCAGGAAATGAACATCTACGTGGAGAGCCACTAGCAAATATGGTCTTCTAAGCTATAAATATGGGCTCGTAGCAAAAAAAGGATGAAGGAGGAAACTTTACTGGAGGTTTTGTGTCCTCAGGATCCCGAATTCGGATGGAGAAATGTCTTTCTGTTGTTGTTTGCCATTAACCTATCAGGATTGATCTTCTACCTTGTATTTGGAGATGCAGTTGTCCAAGACTGGGCTAAGGACAGGAAACTCACTCGTTTATGAAGGTAAAGGATAGTGGTTTCATCTATGCATTTAACTAGAGGAACACTATTGACATTTTTAATTCGACGTCCTTTTTCTTCCTTAGTTATCTCACCTCGGTAGGATGGAAAGTCACTGGGCACCTCTCTTCACAAAGGAGAAGCCCTTGGTGATGAGAAGACCAGGGGAGAGAACCTTGTTTGCTGCCATTCTTTTCACATCTGAGATCGGTTCTTTATGTTGCTAAGATTTCCTCCGGGGGAAAATATCCAATGAATGAAAGTTCAAATAAAGTGATAGCCATGAACAAAGGTGTCCTCTTCATGGAATTCCCGGTGGATTTAGAAGAACTGTTGTATCAGAGCTAACTGGCCAGACTCACAGTTTCTGGATCTCAAAACAGGAATCGGTGTTTTGAGACTCTGAATCTGAGGACATAACCTCACTAGGACAATAGTTTTTCCTATTTGTAAAAGGGAGTATTAATTTGTATTTGTTAGATCGGGTATGGTCCGCATGCCCCTGCCTTTGTGTGTTCCACTCTTCGCCCTGCTTAGGCCCCGGCAAGCTGACCTGTTTTGTAGCCACACTCCCGAGTCCACTGGCCTCTGCTGGATTTTCAATGCAGGCTGAAGAGTGAGGACAGGGATTTCTCTCTGTCTCTACGGTTCCTCCTGTGGGGTCTGCCGGTGGCTGATGCTTCCTCTACTGTTCAGATCACCTGACTGGCAGGACTTCCATACATTCTGGTGGCTTCTCTCTTCTCCTGTGCCTTCAGGCCTTTTTTTTTTTTTTTTTTGCCTTCACTCCATTCCCAATCCTGTGTAAACTGTCTCTTTTAACACCGTCTTTAAATTACCTACGTGGTGTGGGTCTGCCATGTTTTCCTTCCGGGAACCAACCAATTCGGTGGTTCCATCATGTAGAAAGTTCACAACATGAAATGGATCAACATGTTTGTAAAGTGGTAATTTATCGGTATCAGTGGGTTAGAGCATGTGCAGAGGGGCCAGGGCCATTTTCTCAGTTGCTCCCCGTGGTGATCTTCACTGTGTAGACAGTACGGCCAGCAAGTCATTTCATACAGAGGTGATGTGGTGGTCACAGTTCTGAATGAAAAGCCACGGCAAGAAGATAGAGGTCAAATCCGAATAAATCCAAAAACAATTACTGAGATCTTGCTCCAGTCTCGAATCTAGGTCCTTGAGATCGGAGAGTCACGATTCTCCAGTCCAGTGTGGAGGACAGCCATAATGGCTGCCAGGGCATGGTCTTAGGCACATGGCAGAGGAACGTACCGTCCGTTAGGGGAGACTACGCGAATGGTTACGATCCCATGTGGAAAAGCATGGTGGGGGAGGAGGGAATTCCTTCTGCAAGGAATTCCTGAGCTAAATAGGGAGTTTTATGGTAAGATTCCCCACATTGGAGCCCCACTTGTACAAAAGCATGGGAACAAGAAACAGGATGGATTCTGGGGTGCCTGGGTGACTCAGTCAGTGGAGGGCCCGAAGACTGATTTTGGCTCTGGGCATGAGCTCACGGTTCGTCAGATCGAGCCCCCATCGGGCTTTGTGCTGACAGCATGGAGCCTGCTTGGGATTCTCTGACTCCCTCTCTCTCTGCCCCTGCCCCACCCATGCTCTTGTGTGCTTGCTTTCTCTCCCTCAAAGTAAATAAACCTAGAAAAAAAAAAACACAAAAAACAACAGGATGGATTCTGAAAGGAATCATGCACGATCAGTTGGGAAAGAACAGAAGATGAGCTTAGGGAGGGGGGTATGACCAGTGCATAAAGGTCACGTTTGCCATGTTAGGGAGCTTGAGGGGTATCCCACAAAGCAAGAGTGACAGGCACAGATTTTCTCTCTGGATAGAACACTCTGGCCCAATTCCAGAACCAGGAAGTCTATTAAATGACTGTCTGCAGTGTGGTCCACATAGCAGTGATGAGGACTGAACCAGGGAGGGAAGAGCTGGGGTGGAGAAGAGACACTAAGGAGTCGGGGTCTCTAACCTGAGAGACTGTACACACAGGGTCCGAACACCTGGCCGGAGACTGCAAGAGGAGGAATCCTTTTTAGAGGGAAGATAACGAATTGACTTCGGGACACGTTAGTGGTGATAATGAGATAATCAAGTGGGCATGTGGATTCGTTTCCTGGGGCCGCCATTATGAAGTGCCACCAACTGGGTGGCTGAAAAGCCGTAATTTCTTGTCTCACAGATAGAGAAGTCTGAATATGTCAGCGAAGTCCATTCTGTCTGCGCGTTGAGGGAGAATCGGTCCCGTGACTCTCTCTCCTGGTAGCCTCCGGAATTCCTCAGCTTGAAGATGGCTTCTCCCTGCATCTTCGTATCTTCTTCCCTCTGCACATGTCTGTCTCTGTCAAAATATGTCCTTCTAATAAGGATGTCCCATGCTAATGACAAGCTCTTCATGTTGTCACCATGAGTACTAAAGGGACAGGACTATTGTATTGAAGCCCCAGAGGTTCTGAGGCTGTGCCATGCCTTTGTTGAGCCTTCAGGGTAGGCACTGAACAAGTATACAGGTACATTACAATAAAACAAAAAAGTAATTATTTTTATTAGGAATCAAGATGTTCAATGTAAGAGAAAAAATCAAGAGCGTCAAATCAGAGGTTCTAAAAAATCCCCCAAACATTTCATTTGAATTGGAAATAACACACAGAGTTTGTAACTGAAAAAAACAACACCTTTTGAAGTTCTTCCACTGAAAAGGCCTAGAAGCCATGGGACCTAGGAGCAATGAATACTCAATGCTTAGAGTGTGGTCTCTGGATGCTTTTTCCTACTGAAAGGAACCTGCATTCCATGAGAGAGCCCAGGTCTGAGAACAGGAAATACGCTAGAGGAGCTTGGAATGTGCGTGTGTGTGTGTGTGTGTGTGTGTGTGTGTGTGTGTGTGTGCGTGTGTGTGTTAGAAAACAAGGACACTATCCCAGACAATGAGGTCAGGTCTTAAGGACAATAGAGACCGGCTTGAATAGCTTCCTACTGGCCAAAGAAGAGACAATTTAAGCGTCAAAAAATAGGGACTCAGCAGATTGAAACACATCCAAGAAAACCCAGGAGGTCATAAATTTTCCTTGGTCAGCTTTGCTAAGGCACTAAATTATTATCCTACAACTTTATAAAGTATCCTGACTTTCCTATGAAATCTGTATTTCAGGGTAGCCAAATATTAGATTAGGCAAATTTCTTATTTTGTAGAAAATTCCAGCTCCTACCTAAAGAAGGCATGATAGAAATAAAATAACGGATCGTTTAGTGATTCAGCATTTACCAACAAACGGCAAAGGCTTCCAATCAAGCTGAGAAGATCTGAACCCACTGAGCAATCTTATGTCACTCAAAGTGAGACAGGCTGCCACCGTGGAAGTCTCCAGCACCCCATGAGTTCTTCTTGTCCTGGATCTAAGCAAGCCTCTCCATATACGAGCAGTTTGGGGGCTATAAGGGATAAAGAAATTTATTAAACAACACTAAAAGGAAGGAATTAGCCAAATCAGTTATGGAAGTCACTCTGCAGATGGCCTTGTTTTGTTACGACGACTGTTGTTGTTATTTTTTAAGTAACAGCAAATATAAAGTGAAGGAAGGAACGGTCACAAAATTAAGGAGAGGTGAGAGTCATAACACTTGAGTGCCACAGGCAGATCTTGTTTGGAGCCTCATTTAAATAAATTGAGTGTAAGAGGACAACTCTGAAGCAACTGGGAACATTTTCATAATGACTAGCTTTCGGATGATATTAAGGGATTACTGTTTTTTAGAAGTGCTGATAGCATGCTAGTTATGTTTTTTTTTTTTTTAAAGCACTAATGAGTTATATATCCATGCTGTACTTTTTATGGGAGAAATAACATAATATCTGAGGTTTACTTTAAAATACTCCAGAAAACAGGGGCGCCTGGGTGGCTCAGTCGGTTGAGCATCCGACTTCGGCTCAGGTCATGATCTCGCGGTCCGTGGGTCTGAGCCCCGCGTCGGGCTCTGTGCTGACGGCTCAGAGCCTGGAGCCCGCTTCGGATTCTGTGTCTCCCTCTCTCTCTGCCCCTCCCCCGTTCGTGCCCGGTCTGTCTCTGTCTCAAAAACAAATAAATATTAAAATACTACAGAAAACAAACACTGGAGATATCTCTATATGTATCTCCAGTGGCCAAACGTTGATAATTACTGATTAATGGGCACGTGGTTATATTAGACTGTTCTACTTTTCTTGCACGTTTGAAAATTCCAATATAATGGTACATCTATTAACTTAATAAGAAAAGCACAGAATCCAAATGTAGAACCCAGAAGTGATTTGAAAGCATATCACAGAGCAACAGAAAGCTTTGGAGTCAACACAAGGAAGGATAGTTCCCTTCGGGTAATCAGTAACTGGAACCAGAGACGTTGATACTAAGTGGGAACATTGTTTACTTAAAACATGGACATTGAACAACTGGTGATCTGGGGCTTTTAACCACTAAATGGTCAGAAAATGCCAGAAACCACCAGCCTTGCCCTCAAACTGTACAAACCAGAATCTGGAATTCTCACAAGGAAAAAAATCCAGCGGAATGCATAAGACATCAAAGTCTCCTGGGCAAGCAAGTTAAAGTTTTCGTCACTTCCTGGGGCGCCGGGGTGGCTCAGTTGGTCAAGCGTCCAACTTCGGCTCAGGTCGTGATCTCGCGGTTCATGGTTTAAGCCCTGTGTCAAGTTCTGTGCTGACAGCTCAGAGCCTGAAGTCTACTTCGGATTTTGTGTCTCCCTCTCTCTGCCCCTTCCCTGCTCAAGCTCTGTCTCTCTCTCTCAAAGATAAATCATCATAAAAAAAGTCTTCAGCATCTCTTTAGAGAGAAAAAAACTGATTCAATTTGTAGAGTGTCTGCTAAGTGCCAAACATGTATTAGGCACTTTATAAGCATACTCACACATCTTTAAAAAAAATAATCTTATGTATGTAAGAAACTATCGTCCAAAATCCCCGATTTAAGGGCTCAGATGTTCCTATCTGATCAGTAGGTTGCCTTCACAGAACTCCAAGGTAAAAGCACTCTCGGGTATACCTACGGAGAGGTGGTAGAACCAGGAGAATTTGCTCATTGCAGAAGCCATGGGGAAATCACTCCCTTTGCAGGATATACTTTAATAAAATGCATCTCTCTCTGAGTAGCTTGAGTGTCAGACAGATGTGGCCTTTGCAAAAGGGAGGGAAGGGGAGGGGAGGGGAAGAGAGGAGAGGGGAGGGGAGGGGAGGGGAGGGGAGGGAAGGGAAGGGAAGCAAGACAGAGAAAAGGGAAAAAAAGGGAAAAAGGAAGGCAGGCTGGCAAAAAGCTAACGGGGCATTCATGGGGCATAAAAAGCCACAGCATTCCTGTAGGAATGGTACTGTGAACCCAGATCCATCCTCAATAGAAAACATCTGTCCTAGGAGCACTGACTGTCAGGCTGGTTCTCTCCCTCCTGGCAGGAGACTAGCGATGCTGTCTACTACGGTCATGAATTTGATGGTGGATTTCCAGGACGTTTCTAGTCCACTGGAAGATTCTAACAGTCATACTCCTCCCCTGAAGACTCGAGGAAAGGTGAAAGTTAAAGAGTAAGCTTTTAACTTTGACATAACAAGGTCGTCATGAGGATTTGGTGAAGGATTAGTGGGGCTAAAATCGGTAAATCCAGAAATTCAGTACTTTTCAAAGGTTCAAAGTCATCCAAGGGAAGAAGGAATTGCTTTTCTGTCCTGAATCAGGTCAGTCTCACTCTTATATTGCTACTCACTAAATGCAATGAACAGTTCCCCAGAGTGATGGCTGGGGGGTGGGGGGAGCTTCTCCGTTAAAGATCCTATCAGTTTAGCAAGCTGGGGAAATTTGGAGGCAAGATCTATTTCCACAGATTTTTCCTAAGGGAGTAAAAAGAACCTATTTCTAGGGATTAAGGGGAGGAGAGCAGTTGTGTGGACAGACAAGGAAAGAGAAGCCACGTGTTGTGCATTGCGTGGTGTTGTGTGAGTGGTGTGGGGGTGTCTGTGGTGCGTATGGTGGAAAGTATGCAGAAGTATGTTTGCGATGTCTGTGCTGGAGTTTGTACGTGTGAGTTGAGATGCGTTCGTAAGTGGGCGCAGGGCACGTGTGTGTTTGTACAGGATGCGTGTGGCATGTGGGTGTGTCTGTGCGTGTGTGTATTTTGAAATAAACAGCAGCCAAGTAGACAGTTCGGCAAATGATAATGCTGGTGGACCAGCTGTTTACTCAAAAATACGTGGCAAATCCAACCTCAGGAATTTGTCTTTCAAGCATCCGGTCATCTAAGGGGATGGGGCCGAACGTCAAAGTTGTACACGAGCCCAGGACCAGCGTCTGCGGACGGTTAAGGGCAGACAGAGCAGCAGTGGCCGGTCTGTCCAAGGGGAAAGTCCTGTGCGGAATGATCCGCCTGCCCATGAGAAGGCGAAGTTAACCCACAGAGAGTTCTCCTCCAGCTCCATTAAGCTAGAAGAAAAAATAATTTATTTTACCTTTACTTACTCCTTTTCTGACGTTCTTTTTTGGTACGTTCGAGTTTCTGACCTTTAGCAATCTCCCTGCCTGAAAACCCTCTTTATTTTTTTGCTCTACAAATGCAATCATAAAACGTCTTTTAACATTCCTTGCAGGGCAGGTCTACCATCAGCGAATTCCCTCAGTTTTTGCTCGGTTGGCTCACTTTTGAGGGATATTTTCACGGGACATAGAATCATGGGTTAGCAGGGTTTTTATTCTTTTTAAAAATAGTTTTCAGGGGGGTTATATATTTTTAATCAACCCACAGAGCGTCCAAGTGCAGCGTCAGAGGAAACACATGATTGAGTTAAGTGGGTGCGGGTGTATGCAGCGTTTCCCTGTGATGCGTGTTTTCAATTGGAAGGTAGTACTAGGTGGTGTTTAGTCAGTTCTTCCCTGTTATGCTGACACCAAAGTGTTTTGCTCTTGCAGTGGAGACCAGACCCGGCAGCAAGAAAAGAAGAAACCAGAATCCCATTCGTGCAGATGGATAACCAGTTCTCTCCTGGGAAAGGTAGAAATTATTCTCTGTCTCACTGGTTACACTTTCTCCTTCTTACATGACATCACAGATTCTGGGTGAGCACGTTTTTCCATGAAAACACATAAAGGGCCTTAGGAATGTCTGGGAAAAGAGGTGAAAACCTTTGTCCTGCTATAGTTTTCCATTAGGAAGGCCCTAGGGCCACCTGGGTGGCTCAGTCGATTAAGCATCTGACTCTTCATTTCGGCTTGGGTCATGATCTCACGGGTTCGTGAGTTTGAGCCCCGTGTCAGGCTCTGAGCACTCACGGTGCGGGGGGGGGGGGGGGGCCCTGGGGATTCTCTCTCCCTTTCTCTCTGCCTCTCTCTCTCTCTTTCAAAATAAATGAAAAACTTAAAAAAAAAAAGAAAAACCCTAAATAAAAACAATTCGTATTCTTTATTTCAATTCTTACACACTCGTCCACTTAATCACGTGGTGGAGAGTACCAGAAAGGGTCAACTACTTTTGCCCTGTCTCAAGGAGAAAGACATGGATGGAAGCGAAGACAGGATGAATGGTCCTGAGTCACCGCATCCTTGGACATCAACACGTGGATATTTACTGAAAACTGTTTATTCTGAGTCGGGCAGGGAAAGGACGAGAAGAAAGTAGCACTATGGTCTTAGAATTGCGTGCGTGTCATAGGGAACAGAATCCCGGAAGGGGGCGGGGCAATGAATAATTTATGTAAAGATGAGGGGTCTGTTACATCTCACATTTCTGCTTGTATTATTTTTGCTTTTTTGTGATTTTGGTCATTTTTCTATTGTCCATTTAATCGATACTCAAATTTACATATGAGTGTATGAAACGCATAAACATAAAAGCACATAAACCATATAAGCTCACATGCATCTGTCATTGATTCTGCCCTTCTGCTTAACGTTTCCTTCCTGTCAGGCTCTTGCGGTGTGTTCCTTTGTTAATGTCCCAAGTCCTTGAATTTTCTCTTCTTTTCTGGTTAATATCCTCGGGGTGCACCTTTTGCTCTAACTGCCCAGGAGTTGCACCTGCAGTATTTTACTGTTGCCAGGCCTGAGCACTTTACAATTTCCCTTGTGGTTTACTTTCTAACTCAAGACTTACTTAGAAGTAACTCACGTTCTTCCTGGAGTAAGAGAGTAAACTGAAATAGGCCCCCCAACGACCGTGACACGAACGCTCCTCTGCACATGAGGCCTGCTCCCCCTGGCTCTCTGGAAGCTTTTTTCTCTCCTCCAGGGATTTTTTTTCCCCCCCGAGTGTTCCTATTAGTTTTCCAGGTCCATTCGTTTTCCTTTTGATTTTATTTAAAAATGTTTTTTAATGTTTATTTTTGAGAGAGAGACAGACAGACAGACAGAATGCGATTAGGGGAGGAGCAGAGAGAGAGAGAGAGACAGAGGGAGAGGGAGACACAGACTCCGTTGTAGGCTCCAGGCTCCGAGCTGTCAGCACTGAGCCTGATGCGGGGCTTGAACTTAGGAACCGTGAGATCATGACCTGAGCCGAAGTCGGACGCTTAACCTGAGACTGAGCCACCCAGGTGCCCCTTTCCTTTTGATTTTAAAGATGAGGCTTAGAAAGCTTTGGAGCAAGCCATCCTCAGGGTGCGTGCATCCATGTGCGGCTGGAGACATTTTTCTGATGGCCCCTGGACAGTCAGTATTAGGCCACAAGCCATTGGAAGGACTGGCTGATGACTGAATGGTTTTCTTCCCTCTGCTGAGCTCCAGGGCCTGTCTGCACAGGGCTAAAGTTTCAGCAGTGCCCCTGGCAAGGCTGTGTGTCGGTGTGTTCACCCTTCACCAAGCCAGGAGATGTTTGGCATCTGGGTATCTGAGAAGGTCTCTTACCAGACCCCTCCCATTGCCTGGGGATTGGTATTTGACTCCTGTTGTCCCCAGGCCCTGGGAAGCAAAACAGAAACAAAAACAAACAAAAGACACTGAGATCAAATGCTTTCAGGGAAAAAAAATCTGCCTTCAAAGATCAGTTTATGCCTTGAGGAGTCCGTCTTCACAGAACCCTCGGCCTGAATATTTCATTTTTCCTGGCAGATCATCCATGCTTTTAAGGACATACTTTATTTTAAATATATTTCGCCTACTATTTTTATCTGTTTACAAAGGGAGAGCCGTGCAGAAAACGAATTTTCCAGGCATCACTGCCTTTTTTTTCTACTTAGCAGCAAATCCAACATTTGTTTAGCCGAATTTCAAAACACTTCAGAATCAGCAATGCCCTTTTACCCTCTCTCCCCCTTCTAGAACTGGGAGAGCCGTAGCAAGTGTCCAGTGTGCCGCAGCATGTGTGGCCGGAGTCCTGGGGACACGTACCTTGTCTCCCCCTTCGTAAGTCCGCAGATACAGAAATACCGTGCCCTAGCGGGGGTTATTTCTAGGAACCTCCTTCACATGGGTTTAAGATCATTTCGATGAGATCTGTGACTTTGAGATCTGGAGGAGGCAATGGACGTGGGCTGATATTGTATGATAAGCTGAGACTTTTAAGGAACCGTGGAAGGGGGTGAATGTGTTTTGCGTGGGGGATGAACATGAACTTTTAAGGACCAGAGGGTGGACCGTGGTGGCTAGCCGTCTAAGACTACCCCTAAGATTCTGGCCCCCCGTGTGTGTGCACCTCCCGCAAGTTATTTAAGCAAACACTAAGCTAGGTGCCGCCTGGAGGGATTTAGCAGATTTAAACGTGGTCCCAAATGAGCTGATCTTAAAATAGGGAAATCATCCAGGAAATTACCCAGCCCTTCGACTTGGGTCCAGAGGTCAGAGACCAAGCAACTAGGGAGAGTCCAAGTGTGAGAGGGTTCAACGTTAAGCCAGATTCTTTTGGGCTGGTTTCAGAGCTGCAGGAAGCCACGTGACAAGTCACAGGAACAGCCGCTTGGAACTGTAAGCATCTCCCAGCCGACAGCCAGCAGGGAGACGGCCACCTCAGTACCATATCCACAGACAACTGAATCCTTACCATAACCTGAGCGAGAATGGAAATAGATCCTTGCTTAGAACCTTCAGCTGAGAACTTAGCCTGGCTGATCCCTTGATTTTAGCCTTTGAGATCATGAGCAGAAAACTTAAGTGCACTATGCTAACTCTATGCTAAAACTTCTCAACTGCAGAACTGTCTTAACAAATGGGTGTCGTTTTAGGCCATTCGGTTTGCAGACCTTTTTTTACACAGCAAGAGAAAACACACTTAGGAAAGCACATCCACAACAAAGCCTTCGACAAGCGTTGTCTGAAATGTACAAACATCAGAGCTACTCCGTGTAAATCAGGAACCATGGTATGAAAACCAGGGATGCTAAGTGCGGCCAACAATTCACCGGTGGTTCTGATCCAAGGAGAACAGGAAATTAAAGACACGAGGATCGCCAAAGAACCAACGAAATCATCACTATTTGCGTATTCCCCACGTAGAAAACCTACCCCAAACAGCAGATGTATTTTTACATTTTATTTTATTTTTGGGACAGAGAGAGACAGAGCATGAGCGGGGGAGGGGCAGAGAGAGAGGGAGACACAGAATCGGAAACAGGCTCCAGGCTCTGAGCCATCAGCACAGAGCCCGATGCGGGGCTCGAACTCACGGACCGCGAGATC